TGGCCGAAAGCTGGAAACCTACCGCGCTGGCCCACCTGGCTACAGCGGAGACTGCTGCCTGGGCCTTGATCCTGTTGCGTGCTGCTGTTGGGCCGGTAGTTACGATAAGTACATCGTCTGCATACATGAAAATGTAAACATTTTTCGGCAGTCCTCCGAAAACTCCGTTCATGGCCACAAGGAAGAGGGTAACGGCGATAACTGAACCTTGAGGGACGCCCGTCTCTTCTCTAAAAAGCTGGGACCTCGTGTTGCCCACTGCGACTCTGAAAGAGCGATCGGTCAGGAACTTTTTGATGAAGTGGACACAGCCCCCAGTTGACAAGCTGCTCTAAGACGAGGGGCGTCCACGTCCTGTTGAAGGCCTTCGATATATTCAACGAGACGATCTCGGCGTGGAGACCGCTATCGTTGGCACTCTTGAGGACCTCCCCTAATGTTGCAAAATAAGTTGACGTTCCGTACCCTTGACGGAAGGCGTGCTGTCGATGGTCTAGAAGGTTTTCGGCTTCAAGGAAATGCTTTAGCCTCCTGTTGACCATTCGCTCCAGGACCTTGGCCATACAGCATGTCAAGGCTATTGGCCGGAACTTGCTAGCTTCATGGGTTGTTTCATTGGCTTTTGGGATGGGGATGACTAAACTCTCTTTCCACGACGCTGGATACGAGTTGGTGAGCCAGAGCTTGTTGAAAAGCTCCAGCATCCGTAGCTGGCCTGGCGTTGGTAACCTCTTGAGTAGAGGGTACCCGATTTCGTCGACTTTCCGTTGCTGCAGCGGAGGGCATGCTGCAATTCCTGCCAGGAGAATGCTTGGTTGATGTCCGAGTTTCCAGCGTCAGAAGAAACAGAAAAACTTGCAATGGATGACGTCGAAGGCTTAGCTTTCCGCTTGAATTCGTCTTCGTACTTCTCGATGGCTGCGAGATCGGCAAAGTACGAGCCGAGTTCGTCCGCTACAATTGCAGGGTCAGAAACAGCTTCACCGTTAATCTGTACGTGGAGCGGTGTCATGCGCCGTTTCCCACTGAGGGCGTTGACTTGCCTCCATAAGTCGGCCGAAGACTGTGACGAATTCATTCCTTCCAGAAAGTCCATCCAGCTGGTTCGTTTGGCGACACGGATTTCTTGCCGGCATTGATTGTGCTACTCATGGTAGTGACGGAGAGCGTCCTCGCGATCGGGATGTCCGATAGGAAGGCGCTTTACACGGCGAAGTGCTTTACGCCGGGCTTTAACGGCTTTCCTCGTATCTTCATTCCACCAGCGTAGCGCTTTTCGCCCCGGAACGCTGCTGGTCTTTGGGATGGTTGCTGTTGCTGCTTCGTATACCACTTTTGAAAAGTCTTCAATGCTGTTCGGATTACGCTGTAGTAACAAGGACTGAAAGGCTTCACCATAGCTATCCCAGTCCGCTTGTTCATAGCGCCATCGAGGCCTCTTGTCTCTTCATCATCGCCTCAATCGCGTTCAAAGACGGATTGACTGAGGCAGCGCTAACTGCGGCGGCAGCGACAGTGTTTCCAGAACCATTCAACTGGAGTGCGGCTTGCAGCTGGGCGATAATAGTGTCCTTTTCTTTGACCGTGTTCGCCAACTCATCGATTTTCCGACTCATTTCGAGGAGGGCGTTTTGCGTGCTTGCGTTTGTGACATTGGCAAAGGAGTTGCCTCCTTGCGTCTGGATACGAAAGACCTCTGTCCACCTTGATGCGTTGAATTTCATTCTCCCGTTTATAACTCGGGCAGGAGTGATTAGACAGACCGTGGTTGTCTGCTTTGCAGCTACTGCAGAAAGATTTCTGGGGACAGGGACGGTCATTGGCGATCGGATGATCACCCGAGTAATTCCCACAAATTGCTTTTGCAACTCTACACCGGAGCTTGGTATGGCCGAACGCCCAGCAGTTGAAGCACTGCATGGGCGACGGATAGTACGGACGATTTCGACACCGCGTGTACCCTATGTCTATGTATTCAGGTGCACACGTGCCGTGACAGGTCACGATGAGGGTCGCCGTGTTGACCCGACCTGATCCGTCCCGTCGTGTGATACGTCGCACTTCTTTTACGCCTTGATCGCTGAGGTCAGCAACAAGGTCTTGTTCTGTCTCTTTGATGGCATCTTGACAGCTGACCACGAACCTCGTGAAGTTCAACGAAGGGTGCGGAATCACTTCAACGGCTGAACCGTCCAGTAGTATTTTGAGTTGCTGTAGTTTCTTGTAATGCTCGCCACTCCGCACCTTAAGCGCGTAGGTAGCTCCACGGGCTTCCGGAAAACCTCCCTCTATCTTCGCATTCAAGTGCTTTTGAACCGATTTTCGGATCATAACCGGGTGGCTTGGAAGGCTACGACGGGTGTTGTCTTCTTGCATCACGCCTTGCAAACGCAAGATGCGCACTTCCCCATGGTTCCCTTCGGGGTCCATAAAATACGGCAAAATTGATGCATTTTGATCGTATTCTCCAGGGTCCAGACCGCCTCCTCCCGGCGGAGGAAAACCCGGGTTCACCGCCATTACGACGACCCCAGCCCAGCTCCCTGAAAAGAAACGCTCAGTTCGGACTCACCACAGATTCGTTTATGTTGCCTTACCAGGAAACCACCGCCAACGACAAAAAAGGCGGCGTTCACAACACTACACAAAAAGCACGACTCAAGTGTTCTGTTTTTACCAAGCCCCGAAATAAAGGGGTAACACTAATCGATTAAATTCGCGTACTACTGAATTGTCTTATTTGGAGGGGGTGGTAGTTCACCTAAAATGTGACCTAAAATGTGTTAAACAAAACAAATAAACAAGAATCATTAGTTCAACAACAGATGAACTTAAATTAAATTTTAAACAAGACGTTAAGAGCAGAACTTCAAGTTAAGTTGCTTTCATTTAAAAAGTTTTGACTGCATAATGAAATCACAATATGATATCAGACTTATGTCACGAAAATTGAAATCAAAATGAGTTTTCATTATGATAGAAACTGCAAACTTTAATATCTATTTGCTTTCATTTTGTTAACCGACTTTGCTCGGGCAACTAGACAGATTCTAGTCTTAATGAGGTTTTGGTGGATGTAATAAAGGCAAAGATGTCTTGAATATTGTTTTATAGTAGCCTTGTAGTATTTCACAAAACGTAAAATGTTACTTGGGTTTGGACGCTATTTTTCAGTCAAAGAGGTTTGTTTTTAGACTTGTGCAGTTTTACAGCTTTTACTCTGCTTCTTTACAAATCTGAATTAACTAGTCGAGAAAAGTGACTCATGTGCACTATTATAAAGCCTCTACTCAACTCGACCTTGTTGAAGAAGGGCTTGTAAATTTGTTTACGTCAGTTCAAAGTGTTGGCGTAGCGAAGGTTCTTCCATGCGGTCGTCTCGAGATCGATTCCAGGTTCCACGGTACAGTGTAAATAATTTAGTGGTGTTGCTTATAATTGATTTCGATTAATTTTACTCGCAGTAAAATAAACATGATAAATTCCTCCAACAACAAAAAAGTGTGAACAATATTTAACCTGCCGTCAAGAGAAAGCTGTGTAGAGATTATTTGATAATCGGGTAAAGGTTGAGTAAGCATCTTTCAAGTTCACACAACACAATAGAAGCGTAAATAGATATGCAATAAGAGCTTGTCCCATAGTCATAAGTAGCTGACTAAGTTTGCCAGATTTGCTTGTATAGAGGTTGAGTAAAGGTTTCCTCATATCGTATAACATTTTAATACAGCTTGAGGCAGTATCAATGAAATGAGTAAAGCGTTTACATTGCGAAAATTATTAGTTGGGATGTCTTTAATTTTGGTTTGTTGGTGATTAGGTATCGTGTGAATCCGGGATCCGTGCACGAGAGGAATGTTTCGGCTGGTTTTTTATTCCTTTGGGAATCTTTGTTATTCAAACAAGCTATTGTTAATTCAGAGAAAAAATAGCATTTGGCGTCAGCTATTAAAGGCTGTGGCTGCCAGTTGAGTCACATTATTTAAAAAAAACTTCCAGCGACCACATTTCATAATAATGTTGCGAATAATTGTAAATTCTGCATACTTATTATGCAAATTTGTAATAGAATTTGTAATGGAATACCCCGTTGGGTGTAGATATGATATATTATTGATGTGTTGATGATTGAATCCTTCTACATACAGCACAAATAAAAACCGAAATTGATTAAGATGAAATTTATCTCACATCAGAACTGAAAAGCTCAACCAAGAGTAAGCATTCGCCTACATATGATAACTTGTTACGGTTATATTTTTAGCCACACCTAGATTTCCAGGCATCCTACACACTTGAAGAAAAAGCACGTCGGTGTATGCAGCCAAGTTAGATAAACTGCAAACAGAGATAATCTGACAGCAAAGGAGCTTCCGTCTCTTAGCCACTATCCTGAAGTGCGGCAGAAGAAAGTGCCTTTTCACTCATCTGGTTGCTTTTTCAACCGACTTCCTGAGAATTGTTTTCATATGCTTTGCTTTCAAATAAACTGTTTGGTGGGAGGCTGTTATAAATAATAAACTAAAAATTGCGGTATTTTTTAAGAAATATTGAACCGATTAAATCAGCTTATTTCTACCGGTATGGAATTCCTCGCTAGCCTTAGTGAGTGAAAGAAAGCTTTTTTGGTAAATTACAGGGCATTTTGAAATGATTGGGATTTAAAAAGCATCCATGATAAAAACTACTGACCTTGTTTTGTTAGAAATCAGAAAACTCCCAACGCAAGAGTACATCAAATGTCACAGCTCAAAACAATCAACCCGGTCTCGCCAGTACAATGAGGTTCGTTATTTCATGCGAAAATGGAGATAAGTAAAATAATCACCAGTAGCTCCGGAATATTCCACCAAAACTAACGCTAACGAACTCCACCGAATGTTTCACCAAACTCATATTAATTTTCAGTAATTGGGTGCTTTGACAAAAGGTTTCACTGATGTCGCTCTACCAAATAATAATATTAATCTCGGTAAATAGCAATAACTAATAATACTCACAATTCATCAGTCTTGATTTGAATGGCTCTCTCGTGGATCTCCTGGATCTGATTTCCGTCTAAATCTCTGCAGAAAATAAAATGAAAATCATGAGCAAAAGGAGGATTGGTTTTCAATTTAATGGCTACGCAAAAGTTAACGACACTAATGGAACCGCCCAGTGAGGCCCAGTTTGATGAAGGCATTAGGGTCAGATTTCACAACCATGCTGATGATGATGGTGATGATGATGATGATGATGGAAAGTTATGTCACGGTTTGTTGGTCCACGTGTTTTAGGTGGCGTTTTTCGTGGAACGAAGCCATGGTAAATGATCGAAGCTCGGGAAACATGTACGGAAAACACCTTACACTCTTACTCACACCATGTGCAGAATGATGTGAACCGAGAGCATTCGCATATCCGGTACTGCCAGCAGCCCGCAGTGAATGATGCGCCTGGAAATAAGGAAGGAAAAGACAAGCAAAGATGAAAAATTGAAAATTCCAACCCGGAAGAAAGGTAGCAAGAATGCAGTGAAAGCATATTCGTATTCAATGTATGTTGGCAGACCGCTGTTTAGAGGCAACCGTGATGTTACCGGTCAGAAAGCTCATTCTGGTTTGAAGAACGTGACAGTTAGGTAGTCAAATGATTCCGTTGGCAGTTCTTCTTTAGAGACACCAAGACCGATCTGTTATGTTTGTTTGCCGACCGCTTTCATTTGATTGAGTGCTTCATTTTTAACAAACTTGCATTCAGTATGCATAGCTTTGAAATAGTGTATTTAACGTTGTCAACTCGCAAGTTTGGTAGGGAAGAGTGGAAATAAGAACCTACTGTTGTCAAAATTTCAAAGAAGAAGAGTGGGCCCAAGTAACATTGCAGGTTTTATCGAGGTATAATATATATTCTACAAGTCCAAATTATGGTCTACAGAACCCCCATAAAACCAAAATTGTTACTTGGGAGGGTAGGTACTCCCAGTGGTGCACCTTTCCTACATCATCTTAAAGTTTGATTTTTTTCACATAGCTTTAAATAATTTTACTGGGACGATGGCTTATTGAACAGAGTCTTTACTTTGCATCTTTGATCTAGTTGGCTCAGAAGCATTCCAATGCTTCAACGATCTTGCTATGAGACTGAAACGATTCGAACCTTGTTAGTATGTTGGTTTTCGCATTCGTAAGAAATCCAATATTATGGATAACCCAAAACTATAAGCCATTTTAGTTTCAAGTTGGTGGCACGAAAGTCATCCAAGAACACTTTGCTTGAAGCCGATTTTTTGACCCGTTGGTTCGATCATATGTCAATGTTGATAAGTCAGGCAAATATTGCAAGTTTAAGCTGCGCTAATGGTGTATGCGTTTGTTTGAACCGTCATAGCAACGTTACGACGTCAGTGGAAAGTTTGTTCCTTCTGATAAGACAGAATAACAGAAGTGTCTGACCGCAATTAAAATATTTTTGGACAAGAGATTACACCGGTAGGAAATCAGAAAATCTGTGGAAAACACTTCGGATCACATGAACTTCGTGTTGTTGGAAACAAACTACGGCTGGTCAAAGGATCCATTACAACGGTTTTTAAAAAAACTCGTTCGTGCGAAACGTTATATTTTAAAGCAACACAGTTTTATTTTCGATGAACTAGAATTTTTGTTTGGCGATGAAATAAGCTCTTATGGCGACATTCATTTGCCCATAATGTAAGATATTTTAACGATTTTTTTCAATATATTTTCGATTTTTTTGTTATACTTATTCCAAACAATTCGAATTGTAATTGTTCAATTTGGCCATCGCTTTCAAGGACGAGTTAGCCTCTTTAATAAAGAAAGATAAAAAAAAAGACTCAAGGACGAGTGTGATGATGCGTTATCGTGATGATTCAGAACTTTTTTCATCGCCATATGGGGCCGTTTTTTCTTTATTTTGAGTAACAGTTACTGTTTCTCTCCTGAGACTGTTCGTACCTTCTGCAGGTAATCGACGAAGATTATTCCATGCGCATCCAAAAAACGGAGGCCCTAACCTTTCCGGCCGAACGTTGGTCTTTTGGCAGCTTTGGTCGGCTTTCGTAGCTTTCCAGCCACTCTGCGGATTGCCTATTGAACTCTGGCGTATGGTAATGGACCCACGTTTCATTCATAGTCCCAAAACGTTGAAAAACGTCTGCTCGATTACGTTACAAAAACGTCAAGCCAGCCGTTTAATCATCAACGCGCTGCTGTGTTTGGTCGACAGGCAGCAAACGGGGTGTCGCGCCTCAAAAATATCGAGCAAAATGCATCCTGCTCGTCCCTTGAAGATGCCCACGGCCTCAGCTAACTCACGCAACTTCAATTTACGATCACTTAAAACGATTCGATGCACTTGCTTTACGATTCCCGTATTCGTAGCCCCTTTTGGTTTGGTTGTACGACCAATTTTTAATACAAAACCACCAATAAACTGTTATTCTCAAAGGTGCAGATGTAGGATAACATTTCGGCAACCATTGCAATGATTGTTCGGAAGTTTTTCCCATCAAAAAATAATGTTTGATCAAGATGCGGTATTCCTGTTTTCCCAGTCTTTATGCGAACGCGAAAGCAGCTCTACTGACTGTAGCTTGAAAATCAATGGACGAAATGTCATGAAACTTCATACACAAACTAGTGACGAAGAACCTCTCGAAATGAGTCATGTTCATTTTTCAATGAACACTCTCTGTCCCTCGAATAGAACTGCAGGCTGCTCTTCTCGGTGCCACATAAGCAAAGTCAGTTGAGGAGAACCATTCATTGCGTATCAAGCGGCGGACCGTTTGGAGCGATTCAAGCACCGTTCTGGCTTGGTTGCAGTCGGACCAACGTAAATACCAAGCAGCGTTGCCAGATTGTTTTCATGATTATCGGTATCAAATGATTAAAAAATCGATATTAATCGGTATTCACTATTTTAATTAATTTTATTTTATTTTTTGGAATAAAATCGTAAGGTGTACTTTCTATGTAAGTCGAAAGAAGCTTCTGGGAAATACTTGAATTAATCTCTTAATGGTACCAACAGAGCTTCCAGAGGAAGAATAAACGAAATCTTGTGGACGAAGTTTGAAGGAAGTTCTAAAAACTGTCTAAAAAACATCAGATGGGGATCTTCCAAGACAAACTACGATTGGAAACTCGGAACATGGAACTGCCGCTTGGCTTCCCGGGCTGCGATAGGTTAATATATGACAAACTAGAAGGTGACCTGCAGACCCTTCGCAGACTACGAGGCTGGCGAACTGTGGCCATGGATCGAGTAGAGTGGAGACGACTTCTTCGGACAGCAGAGGACAACAAGGCCTTAGCCTGATTGGTAAGGTAAGGTAAGGAGAAGACAGAAGAAACATCCAGGAGACACTGGGAGAATCTTCCTAAGGTAGATTGTATGAAAATTCTGGAAAAAGTCGGACGCCAGAAGACTTACGGAACAGTCGAAATATACTTCAAGGAGAAGATGGGGAAATTTCTGGAAGAAATAGATTTCTGGCAGATGTTAGCACAATATTCTCTGAAGGTCTTCACATGCTCTATTGATCCAGCAATTTTCCTGATATTCATAAAACATCCCTGAAAATTTCACAATGTTCCTTATTTAAAGGTTCAGAATATGACCCAAGAGCGTTAAAGTGACTATAATAAAAAAAGGTTCAGAAATTTCATTGAATTTATATGTACTAATGATTCCCTAAAGATATCTCAATAAAACTCTGGCAGAATTACTGAAGTTCCGGAGAAGTTGAAAAAACTGACGGGAGGAGACGGAATAACCTTTCGAGAGAAGCCCGAAGAAGCTTCCAAGGGAAGTCGAAATAGCTTTCCGAAAGGAATCAGAAAATAATTTACAAGGTAAGGTGGACGGAAATTCCTAGGGAAAGTTGGTGGAAACTTCGAAGGGAAGATTAAATAAATTTCAGGAAGTTCAAAAATCAACGTTTTTATGGACCTATTTTTCCACTGAATAAAAGTATTTCCCAATTTCCAGAAATTACTCGGATGAGCCATCAGCTGTTTCTCGACTCCTTGGTAAACAAAAACGGCGAGGAAATGGAAGCATTAGTCGAAAGAGTATCAAGCATACAGTAATCATTTTGATTATTAATAAAAAATACCGATTTAATTGTAGCTCAAAAATCGGTATTCTGAGAAATATTCTATATCTGTGTATCGGTATCAAATTTGTAAATCGGTATATCTGGCAACGCTGATACGGTAAATACCGACAATTTGTAGCATATTCGATACTACGACAACGAGTGAATGGCGACATGTCCCATCACGGTGGAATGTTGCTGATGACACCACTAAATGGAAGGATAGATTACGGCTCGACAACGATCACCGTTGGTTCCACGGACCTGATTTCTTGCAGAATCCTCCAGACATGTGGCCACAACAGCAACCTCTTCCAACAGAGACGGCTGAGGAGCTGTGACCGGTGCACATTCATCGAACAGTTCGTGAACTTCAGGCGATTCTCAAAGTGGGAACGATGGCAGCGGACCGTCGCTTACGTCCATCGTTTCATCGATCAGCTACAAAGAAAACGACGCAGAGAAGCATCCAATGTTTTGGAGTTGCTGACACGAGGAGAACTTCAGCGAGCGGAAGCGACTATATGCAGACTGACGCTGAACGAAGAAATTGCGGATGAGGTCATCTTGATGCAGAGAACAGCGTTGCCAGATTGTTTCCATGGTTATCGGTATAAAATGATTAAAAAATCGGTATTTATCGGTATTCACTGATTTAATTAATTTTAATTTTTTCAATATCTTTTGGACTAAAATCAAGAGATGTACTTTTTATGTAAGTCGGAAGAAATCTCTGGGAAATATTTGAATAAGTCTCTTAATGGTACCGACTAAACTTCCAGAGGAAGAATAAAGAAGATCTGTGGAGAAAGTTTGAAGGAAGTTCTAAAAAATTTTCAAAAAAACATCCGGAATCTTGCAAGACAAATATTGAGAACCTTCTGGCAAACATATATTAGTAACTTTCGGAAAAAAATTAGAAGTCCGAAAAGTTTGGAAATTGGAATCCAATCCCGGAGGACCAATTTCCTGGAAAAGTAAGGAGAAGCTTGGAAAAACCTTCCAACAAGTCGGAAAAAACCTACGGAGAGTGACTTATGAAGAAACTTTCATAGGAAGACAAAATAAACTTTTGGGAGAACTCGATAGATGCATCCGGTTGAACTTTAATTGAACTTCTTGGAGAAGACGGAAGAAACTTCCAGGAGACACTGGGAGAAACTTCGTTAAGTAGATTGGAAGAAACTTCTGGAAAAAGTCAGACGCCAGAGGGCTTACGGAACAGAATTGATACCTCAAGAAGAAGATGGGAAAATATTTGGAAGATTTAGATTTCTTGGGGATGTTAGCACAATATTCCCTGTAGTTACTCATATGCTCTATTGATCC